ATAAAAACTATCCTATGTCTTTATTAAGGTGTACTCCCTCTGTGTACCAAATTTCATTAAAATAGGTTTGGTAGTATAGGCGTTAAAAAGTAACAGATACACAGACAGTTACTTTCGCATTTATATACTAATTATAATATTAGTTGAATATGATCTGTAGTTTTACACTTAATCGTATTCTTTTTATCTTTCCTTTTATCTCAAATACTATTGATTTTTTACGTATGTATTTAAAAAACGAGAGAGGTTTGCAATTCAATATTGGGTTTTATACAGAACGCTTTATTAAAAATATCGATTTGCTAATTTGCCTTATTCTAATTTTATCCATTTTAGATTTGGCAGGGCACCCTTATTCCTCACCACCATATTAATTTGTGACTTCGCCGGATTGGAAATTGATAAACAAAATATCTACTAAAAACTAAACGATTGATGAAGGTGTCAGCTGACACAGATTGGGTCCTGACGGTGTTCATGGCTCGGAAAGTATTCTCGGTTTCATATCATCAGCTCTATCGCGTGCACTTACCTATTTTACAAAAAATCCCACGTAAACTCTCAAATATATGTCTACCAGAGTATTGTCTCGTTTTCTGTTTCCCACGATTTTACTTTTTGTTTGTTGATTAGTGTACAATTATATATGATGAATCTGTCTGTGTCCTTCTTCTAATGACGAACTTTTTCAAATAGGTTTTACATTTTGAGTATTTATCTTTCTAGAATTATTATTCCCTTTCTATCTCAACATTCATTGATCCAGTTCTTAATTGCACTATAACCCTCATTATATTTTATAGTGTATATAGTAGCATACGATAGAATTAGAAACATATATTATTTTTCTAAATTAGTAAATTTGTATTAGTGATTGAGTAATTATATTTGTAATTCTTTCCTTTAGTAGTTTGTATACATTTCCTTGAGAAATTAAGTTTGATCGAATGAAATGATAGAGTTAAACAATTTAACTTCGTAAGTTTATTTACGTATCTCCTGAATAAAAAAACGGTTGAATAGTTTTAATCGAAAAAGTCACTATTAATTGATTGCCTTAACATTGATGAAAATACGCGAAAAAAGTAACAAGTGCTTGAAAAATTCGTCAGCCCTGTTAGGTCGTGGGTAGCTCAGTCGTTAGAGCAGTCACCCGGATTGCGAAAGATCATGGGTTGGGCCTCATCTTGGAGTGCCAGGAACAAAGAATTTTTGTAAGAATTTTTCATTTAATACAGTGTTCTTCCTAATACAAAACATTATTATTAGAAGTAGAAAATATTAATCAATAGAGTCAAAACAACATTTCCTTTAAATATGACAAACAAAAGTTTTTGACTTCCATTTTCCTTATTTTTCTCATTGATACACTGAATATAAAAATATATAAATAGGAGAACAAAACAAAATAGAACGGAAAAGCATTGTAAAAAGGAAATAGAAATATATATTGTAAGTTTTAATTTATTTTATTTAAATACTTACAAACTAACAACTTTAGAGACTTGCGTTAATATTTCCACTAAATGTATAAAGTCATATTTAGCTGACCTCTGCTTTAAAAAAAATACAAAACAATGAAAAATAGACTGTATTGTATGACCAAAGTACAAGATTTGATCGAAAGAAACTAATAATTTATTCGTAGATTATACTGTTAAATGTCGAATAGTACCAGGAGAACATGTATAATAGTAATTAAAGAAACTTTGATAAGTGTTGTTATCAGGAAAAAAATACAGATAATAAAAAAACAATAATGTAGGTTTAACTCTATTTGCAGATGGTGTATTATTCTAGTGTATACTCGGACATCGTCGTACCTGAACTTGTGTTAAGGTGTTTTAAAAACTAACAATAATACAATGTTCAAAAATAGGAAAGTTAAAAAATACACAGTGCTGAGAACGCTAAAAATATATATTAGGTTGGTACTGATTTTAACAAATAAACAATCAGTTAAATGCCCCAATCTACCAGGAGAACATAACATACTGTAAATAAGGCAAGATAGACTGGCTACAGGGTCCGAGTCAAGGTGATACGACACGGCTAGGGTTGTCTAACACTTAACTGCAGAATAATTATTGCCGACGAAGGAGGTTAAATACCGTTTTACTTTTTTCTATAATTTTTTATAAAACATATTAATATATGTCATTCTAAAGTTACCAAATTAGAGGTTTTATTTTTACTTACTTATTTATCTAGCAATTTTATTCAGGTGATTTTCGGCAACAATAATATTAATTTTATTTATAAATATGCAACGGCATTGCATATTAAACCAATCGTAAGACTTCGATTATTTGACAAAATCACATACCTTCTATTAATTACATATATTATTTTTTTAAACATATGTACAAAATCATGTGATAATAAGTAAAAACTGATACCTACCACAATTTTTATGTTACCTTGTAATTGTAACCTTATTATAATCTAACCTACCTATATCTTACCCAGCCACTGGATGCGGGAATTGTAGGGCCGATCGTCGTGGAAACCTATGGCGGAGGCCTATGCTCAGCAGTGGATGTAGTACTGCTGTTAATGATGAATCTAATGGAACATATTATAAACTGATGATATTTATATTTTTACTTTGATAATATAATTTTTCTGTAACGAATAGCCAGACTACTGTGCGATTATTATTAATACCAACCCTATCACCATCTAGTCATAGACAGAAACTAGTTGCTCAACTAGACGTGCGATCAGTGATCACACAGTCTACTCGGAGCGCATTGTTGCAACACGACTACGTCAAGGTCATGGGGAACGGAGGACTAAGATTGGCCTATGATAACAGCTGTTTTGTTTATGAATTCACTAAAATCAATTACTTACCTCTATAGTAAAAGTTAATGTAAATTGATATATGATTTCTATGAGTCCTGCCATGCAATTCTGTTATAAAATCATTGAGTTTAAGGGCATTGATTTTTTTTTAAATAATAGAACCGATTTCAGACTTTTTAAAGTAAGAATTAATACTTAATTATTCAAGTAACTGCTATTGAAGTCGAATGAATGTGTTTTATAGGTTTATAAAACACACTATTTATTATTAGTAAATGATAACCGACAAAAAATGCAGTTTCTGGTATAATGGTTTTTCAGTATTAATTATAATTCGTATTTATTATTTCTATTTTTTTAAAGTTTGAAATCGGTTCTACTATTTGAAAAAAAAAAATTATGGTTTTACTTATTGGTTTTTTTTATTAAGTAACACTGAAAATAATTAATATCTATAAAATAAATATAAAATAATATTCCAATAAAGTTAATATCTTATCAAAGGAGATTTTCTTTATTTGCTCAACATATTTTTCCCAATACGTAATAAGATTTAATCATTTATTTGTTTGCATTGCATAAGCTCCGGAAGTAAATGATTCACAATTCATGAAGAAATCATTGAACATACCTACTTACATATGTAATTATAAACATATCTACACCTTTGAACATAGATCCTCTTTTCGGATTTTGAATGAACGCAATATACGCAATATTATTTAAGAACAAAAGATTTCGAAAACCACTTAATATAAAGGTGATATTTGATTAAAAGCATATTTCGTTTTGTCATGAAAACAAGACTTCCAATTAGATTTGGATAAAACTTTTATGGGAATACTTCAGGCCCATAAACTGTCTTATAAAAAAAAAATATTTTGGAAATCGGTCTACAATTCGTGGGAACATCGGTTTCGTTCCGATTTTGAAAATAGTCACGAATTCGTCATCGCAGCGCATCACGTTATGGAGGTTCAATGAAATAAATCCTTTATTATCTTTCGAACCAAGTATTATTTGATTGAACCTCTGCGGCGTGACAGCGCTGCATTCAACGACGTGTTCCAGGCTGTTTTTAACAGAATCGTACTATTTATTGTTACCTTTTTGTAATCTTATCTACCTACCTTTGTATGTTTACAATCTCCTACATATTATATTTTAATAGTCCATAAATGCTGGTAATTGGTTTTAAAATATTAAAAACCATTACCAGCAGTATTTTACCAGAAAAATTGTTTTACATTTCGAAAATTGCATAGCAAAAAATTCTTGCTTGTTTTTAAATTGCTTGTTACTTATGGATATAGATATCGTTGTGATCAACCTTTGCAATAATATGTAGCTGCCAATTATTTATTGACATAGTGTGGGAATATGTATATTATATTCTATTCATCAAATCTGTCGTGTTCATTAAAATGTGACTCTAAGTATTATGCTGTGTTATAACGTTATTATTCTTTGTCAGTGAAACATCTAGATATTTTTACATAGCGTGTTAATGTGCACAGAACACGAATACCAAATAACAAAATTTATTTGAAAAGCAGTCGATTTTACGCACTGATTTTATTCGATGCTTTATGGTCGACTTTACAAAGGCGGAATATCTCTGCTTGTAATGCCTTGTGTATTCCTTACCAGTCAACCTTTGGGTGATCTGGATATAATACAAAATTAGTATAAACAATTTCCCACTTTGCTGTTCAGTATATTATACTTCTTATATTTTAACACAAACTATTTTAAAGGAACATAAACTTTTATTAACAACTTTTATACCAATAACTTTACTATTCGTGACGTGGGTATAAATAATTACTTTTCTCATTAAAATATTAGTCCACAACAAGATTAGAATCTGGTTCTGTGGAAATCATGTAATACGTATATGCCTTCAATAATATCAACTATCAGTCAGCGAGTGACACTGCATTTAATATACAAATGCATTACCAACCATCTAAACGCATTCTGCGGTGTCATTAAGTCTATAAATAGGCAGTAAAGTACATAGCGGTTTAACTGTGTACTAAACTCTTTACTCTAAATAAACAACTTTAATCCATTATCTTTCTGCCCGCAGCATACCCACGTTATTGTTAAGAATTCCGTTATTGTCACCCTTCGTATTTTCATTCCTTATTTCAACCTGTAACTGATGTATAAGACTATTCGACTTATAAATTATATTTATATATTTCACACCAAAGTAGCTAGGACGTACACCTATGTCGTACCAATACATTTGTTTATTAAAAAGAAACAAAATGTGTACACAACCTAGCAGGCATTTATTTTTGTAGAATCAGGTAATTTTTTAATTTAAACTATGATGTCATTTTAGAAGCTAACTTTATAATAATGTTGGTTCGACTCTTTTGCAGATACGGCGACTTCAAAGTACTTAAGTTATTACTGAAAACATAACACCGAGGCGTTGTCTGCTGTCACTCAGAATACTCTTAGTGCTACATATAAGATAGGTGGTGATGTATCTGTACTTGTTGCTGGCAGTAAATGCGGACCCGTGAGTTCCATTTATAAAAATTGGATCTAGTGATTTTTACTAATTCTCCTTGCTTTGCATTTTATTATGTTGGTTTTAAATAATTAGGTTACCACACTTGTTTTTGGCTGCAGAGAAGAAACCGTATTGCCAAAACCGGTGGAATATCTATCAAATTAGCTAAACGAGTAAAATACTTTGACTTTGACAAGAAAAAGGAGATGCAAATTGAAATTAAAAATTAAAAGAATATGAAGTCACTCTCCGTTACATCAGAGATTTTTTCGGTAAAAAGCAATCATTTATTGGGTAATCGATCAATATGCCGTGCCATATAAATCCATTGATTAAATTAATACATTAAATTATTATGTTTATTAAAAAAATAAGTAAATTTTGCTTGCACAATTTTCCTATAAGTTACAATCTATAGTTTTATTTTGATATGAAAAAAAAATTAAGAATGTATATACGAAATATTATTTATTGTACAGTCAACATTATAGCAGGGCTATACAAATCTGTCAAATTCGTACTCATGATTTTGAAACCTTAATAATTTGAGGGTAGAGTTTAAATAAAACTACGGAAGTTAGTCCTATTGTGGTAATCTGACGAACAGCCATGTGTGTACATAACCTATTTTTTTTACGAAATATCAGTTAGTTTCGTTTTCATGATATCATGAAATAATTTGAAAGAATATAAGAAATAACTTATTTTTGTATATATAAATTTCGAATAAAAATATAATTTTAACAATAACAACAAATAAATAAATACAGTCATTTATTTCAATGCAATTGCACAGTACAAATGACTACACACTCGCGGTGATTGAGTTGAAATAAAATAAGTCTTAATAAATCATATGTTATAACGCATTTACTTAAGATATAATTATTAATCAAACTATCAATCGTGTAGACGAGACAACAAATTTAAAATCCGAACAGCATTGCCTTCAGCCAATCAAATTTCGTCAGAGAGCCATGACGCGTCATAAGCGCTATTTTTTTTTATATTAATGACCATGACGTTCCGACCAGCCGGTCTAAACTCAACTGTGAATAGTTTTATAGATACATTTTTGTTACACTACTCGTATCTCTAGAGTCAATAAGTCGTGTGTAACTTTGTTATCTTCTTTTGCAGCGGTGCATATGAATTAGTGCTGACTAAACTAGTGTGAACTAGTAATAGTGTTTTTGTTTATTTTTAGATGGTGCCTTTAAAAGTGTTGTGAGTGAATGTTGAGTGGAATATTCCGTTGTTTACGTGTACTACGATATCGGATGTAAGTAAATTTCATGTAAAATATTAACAAAAGTAGATCATATTTACTTTTGTATTGTTTTTAATTAAAAATAATTTCAGTATGTTCCTATCCACGAAACTCGAAACGCTACACTAATAAAAGTTTTTTATACTTATGTATTCTTTATTATAGTGTCTCAATGGAGTTTGTATTGCCTAAATAAGGAAACAAATCAAGTAAATATATTATATTGAATAATAAATAAATATTGAATAACATCACTCCAACGCCTAAGTAGCTGAAATAAAACTACCTGACCGAGAATCGAACTCGGGAATTCAGAGGAAACGGCTTCAAGTCTGCTCGTAGTCCAAAACTATGGACGTATTAAAAAGGAACAGCAATGTTTACTCCAATAACAAAATGATTGAATCTAAATTTCGCGTCTCTTTGACCCATAGACATCGGTTAGATAACTCATAGATTATGTAAAATACCAGTTCTGTATCAAATATCTATAAATGTGGCGAAGTATTTGATGAACTCCTTGGTCGTATTTGATCATACCTTTGATCAAAGGGTTTGCTTCAATTTGGTGATGCGATGCTCAATGTTATCCAAAGTGTAATCCTTTGAATAGAGCTCATTCCTTTTTTATTCATTGTGTAGAGTAGACAAACTTAACTTCCAGTCTTGTTTATTAATTTACTAATTACCAATTTCCATAATACAAATGATTTAACTGTTTAAAAGAGCGCCTTAGCTAAGATCACTTATTTCAAATAGATTTTCTTTGTTTACAACAAAGAAATATGCTCTGGAAAATTACTATTAATTACGCTTGATGAAAATACGCTCTGTAGTAGCGAAAAAGTAACAAGTGCTCGAAAGATTCGTCATCATTCATTCAATTTCTTCAAAATAATCGCTATCGCAATAACTATCACATGTCAAGTAGTTGAAGGGTAAAGTTCGGGAATATCTTTCAAATGTCAATTAAAAGGAATTGTAATAGATTTTAATATTAGACAATTAGCCTCCTAATTTGCAAAGCCCTGAAAGTATCCTAAACGCATTGTTGATGTACTGCAGGCCATTGTATGACTTTTGCATGTTAAAATCCGATATTTGAGATAAAATTTAGCTTATTTAGCACAAGTATTCCAGAATTAAAAAAATACAAGGAAAATTTCTTTCAAAATGAAACTACTCAAATTAATAGCATACTTATATCTTCCATGTCGTTTTATAACTTCAACTGATTGTTCTCATTAGTTTAAGTTTTTTCGTTTCACAAGCCTGTTCAAGTTATGTTTAATACCATTTTGAGTTATGCTTAACTTTAAATACTCAGTTCAGATACCGGGTGTATTTAATATCTATTTTATTCTTTTGTTTATTAAATAAGCCAAGAGCAAGCAGATTTGCTGATCTTATATATATTTAATTTACCTACTAATTGTTCCCTATTAAGAGCAATTAAAGAAGGAACTCTAGTATTAAGAATACTTTTGTATAATTAATTACTGTTCCATAATAAAAGAAAATGCTAAGCTTTTTCTTTTAAAAATTATACCTTTTACATGACATTCGGATTGAAAATGTATAGATTTTGAACCATATTATTAATTTTGAAAAAAATAGTATCACACAGTGTAGTCAAGGCCTCCAAACTATTTGTATATTTAATTTCAACACTTTCGATCTAATGGATTGACCGTGAAAGCTTACGAAATAGAATATTACTTTTATAAGTATATGAAATGATGTTATTGCAATCTTATATTTCTTGAATTTTAGTCAAACTGCGACATATAACTCTGTTTATGATTAGATATACATATAAGAACCAATCATTTCAATAGGTACTACTATGTTTTCTATTCCAGAAAGTTAATTTCTATTTGGGAAATAAAAAGTTTCACTTTTTATAGTAAAAAACATAGCAACAGGTAGGTACTGGTGGTATCTTATCTATAATATGAAGCACCAAAAGTTCGTAATTTTAAGCGTTAATTGAATTCGAATTAGACGGTGGTAAATTATCTTTTCTATTATTATTTATCAAAGAAAATATTAGTTATTATATTTGATCAATTATGAATTAACAATGCTATACTGAAAAATATTCTTCATGAAAATGCTTAAAAATTGACTTTATCACTGGCACTCTGAGATGGGACATGACATGGGACACAACCCATGACATTTCGCAATCCAGAAAGTCATTAAGGAAACCACAAAAGTTTGTACACATGCGCTTGGAAAGAAATTATACTTAGACAGTTTCACAATAACATAATAACATTCAAAGTTTCACTTAAGTAATTTTTCTATAATAGTCTTAACCTACAATACTTAGAGACTAAATTTGGTTAATAGTATCTAGTAAACACGCCTTCCAAATAGTGAAGTTATAATAATCTTTTTAAATTTTTAGGACTAGATCTAGAGGACTTTATTAATTATTCGAGGAGGGATCTAATTAGTTCCTGACAATTAAATTATACGTTTTTTTAAATAATCTAAAGATGCACCTTGTTTTATCAAACAATAAAAGAATCTTACAATGAGGTCTATTCCATAAACAATAAATAGAATATCGAACGATTGTCATTCGAAATAGAAAAAATGTTGATATTTGAAATCTTACGAGTTCACGATAATAATAATAATACAACGTCATATGCTTCTTAAATCTTCGTTTATTAATAATTTTCACATTATTCTGATTCAGTTTACTAATTGAACATCAGATCATGTAAAATAATTCGAAGTTTTCCCTTTCATAAACGCCTGAATCTTAAGTTAATGACTGAACTTAGAATAAAATTAGACGCTGAACTAATTTTATAAGTAAGCTAATGTTATTAAGCTTGTTTTATTTTAAAGAACCCCTAATGAAGTCATTTATTTAAGTTTTAAAAAAATAATTAAGTATAATTTCTTGTCCGGGACGGTTGTTGAGCTTACAGTTAATAAATAATTACAATAGTGTCAAGTTGTATAATAAATAAGTGAGTTACCGTAGCATTAGTTTTGCATGAAATATTATTATTTCACACAGTCTTTAACTTGGTACAGTAATGTTTAAGATACTTTAAGGTATATCATCAAAACACTCAAAGTATTGTAAACGATTAACGTAAATGTTAAGAGGGAGCGTAAGGTTAAAAGACTGCCACTATCCATCTTATTGCGCTAAACGGTTTTTAGTTTGTAGGAATATTATGGAACAGAGAGATTTGATTGTTTCTTCGTTTATTTGTTTGCACCGAATGGGCTCCAAAACTACTGGACTTCATTTAAAAATTCTTTCACCTACTAGAAGCTACACCATACGCAGGTGACAAAGGCTATAATAATTTAAACGGACGAGGTTGCGTAAACTATTTATACACAAACTATTAGTACCATTGTAAGAATGGTGGATTAAATCCTCAACTTATAGTGACTCATATATTATCAAATTTCTTTAATTTAAATGAGTATAATTACAAGATATGGTAAAACTGGTGAATTTAGGAGTAACTCGTTGATATATATATTATAACTAGATTCAGTCAGCGGCTTCGCCCGCGTGGACCCTAGGGAAATGTTTAGTGGGATAAAAAGTATCCTATTATCTAAGTCAGCTAATACCCTATCTGTATACCAAATTTCATCAAAATCCGTTCAGTAGTTACGGCGTGATTGACCGACAAACATCCAAACATCTAAACATCCAAACAAAGAAACTTTCACATTTATAATATTAATAGGATTGCATAAAGTTACAGCTTATTTGGACGTTATTTCTTTTCACAAAACAAGTTGAAAGTTAATAGGTTGGGGAAAAGGTTTTATTGCATTTTATATGAAAATCCAAAACACTTTTAATAACGTTTATTTACATTTAACTAAAGCATGTATTTTGTAGGTAGGGACATGATGGTCCTACCTGGCAGCTCATAATTAATAATGTCCTTCCAATCCCGTCATATGCTCAGCATCACCTTGATGCGAGTTAACCTGGGTTTCACAGTCTGTGAGGCCTGATCAACTTTTGTACCACGACCTTTTTCACACGTTCTTGTCGTACGCGATCCACATTTCATTACCAGTTATCAGCTTCTTCAAAAATGGTTCGATTTCATTACACCGTAATAAAGAATCACAAATGAATACATTAGGTTTCTTTCAGTGAGCTCTTGAGGTAACCAAATAACCACTTTTTCAAAAATGCCATCCATTTTATCGATAACAGGGCGACTTTGGTATCAAACTTTTCGGACTGAAACCATACGCTTAAACTTAATTTGTGCTACTCTCACAGAAACTGCATTAGGTCCATAAACGTTACAAACTTTTTTGTAGCTGGCATTGCAATTGTACCTTTTTTATAAGAATTCTTCATTAGATTCACTCATTTTGATAATAAGAAAAACAAATGAAAATGACACATTTTCCTAATTTGAGTTCGAAGTTATCTTCTTAAAAATTCAATTTTAAACGATACCGAAACCTGCTTGATACAAATGATATAGCCAGAATGATTTTGTTACAAGTTTATGCATACTTCATGCGAAAATACTTTTTCCCCAACCTAATATACGAGTATTATAGATTTTGTGCATACGTGTCCTCTTAACATATTAGTAGCAATTTTAAAATTAGGACAAGGCTATTCTTTATCAAACATTCGATAAAATTGTGGACTTTGAATTTAATTCAAATAAACAAAGATGTAAAGTAATATGATTGAGTGTTTTAAGAACACGATACGAGGTTTTATGAAATTAAGTTAGACATGGTTTGGTTTTTAGTTTTATTACAAAACTATTGACTAAATTTTTCATCATAATAAACACCTTTATCATAGTTGCATCAAAACAGCATACTTCCTTAATGCTACATAAGTTTTACAAACTTAATATAATAATAAAATAAAATAATTAAATTTTGGTCGAAAATAGAGTTCTATTTTATTTAAATAACGTTATGCCAGAGGTCTTAAGTGAAATACCTAAAAAGCTATTACTTATGTACACAGATGTTACTACTCAACATACATTAAGGTATAAAACACTTTATTTCATAGTTCTAATAACTTAAAATTATAACGGTTTTAATTAACCATTATGACACATAATATAGTCATCTGAGATTTCATAGTCAAAACGATTAAAGTTTTTACTGCCATAAAACGAATGGTTATGACTTCGAATACTAAGTACATTACTAACGAATATTAACAACTTAAAATGCTTTATTTTTCATATAAAAAATATAATATTTATCTATTTAGAATAAAAACAAAGTAATAATTTTCCTATGCGCCCTACGCTACCATTGAATATTATTAACACAGGTGCAACAGTACCAGGGCATCATAATGTTCGAGAGGTTTCTCGAGATTGCTTACGAGGCGGAATTGAACACTGATGAAGACCCTGAACTACAGCAGTTGGCGTTCGAGCAGTGCAATGAGGACCCAGCTACTAGGGCCGCAGCCATCTCGGATTTACGTTCAATGATATACGGTATGTACATTAATTTCTAAAGAGATGCTGAGATATACGCTCTGTTATGAGTAATAATGGAAGCTGAGCAACTTACGATTGATCGTTACATAGTTGACAAAATCAAGTTGTTTAATAGAACCACTGTTAAGATTGTTAAAGTACGATTTAATAGGCTGTTAACAGTTCTACTCGGTTCTTTCAAAGTATATATTATTACAATGTGACCGGAAAACAGTATAGACGAAGTAACACCCGAAACGAATGCGTGTTTCGTTAACAACAATTTGTTTCGGTAGCGTTCATCGACCGCTTTACTAACTGTACCATGATCCGTCGTTTGGATGGTTTGTGTTTTTTTACTTTTTGTTTTTTGACACCATCAACTACAATTTCACTGTTTGTCCACTAGACACCCAAAGTCTAATTAAATAATTAAATACCATTTTTATCGCGTATCCTCTATCTCTATCTATTGTATATCATTTGCTCGACAATGAGATAGACACGGTTACACAATGTAAATCGTTTTTTCAACTCCTGTAGATAAATACTAAAGTAGTTATAAATACATTATAAAATGTGTCAATCACGCACCGTAGTTTGGGTACGTAATAACTGCAATTGTATTCGTTTAAAGTTTCGTAACTAATGTCATAACTTTCTACGTAATTTATTCAGACTCAGGCGCGTCTCTGTAACATTGACTTCGCCATATCTGTAAGCTTCTGAGCTTTAAATATTTCGAAACACTACTGTTTATTACGTCAAATGTGAACATTTATATTATAAACACAAAGGCGACGAACAAAACTTTGACTAAGAGCTTATCAAATGTTTGAAGGAAGAAAATATAAGTCGATTTTTATGTCACTCCTTGTTTTAATTGAAATAGATCACAATCGCAAGAATGATATAATAGAAAACGTTAAATCAAGACGTGTTAATTTATATAAGACAACTAGTGTTTAACCGCAGTATGTAGACAGTAATGATGCGTTCGCAACTCTGCTCACCATATCCTACCTCGCTTTCCTGCCGAGATAGACCGAAAAAATATTTTTAATGTCACTTTACTGTTAACGTCAATGCTCGTCACTTTAATGATCTTATACAAAGTTGATTATCAAACGTACGTAACCCATCGCACGTTCGGTTGTAATATTATCATATATTACACATTAAATAAATTACTATATTCAATATCAACGCTAGAAACCTTTAAGCAGTAACTCTGGTTAACGTAATATATTTATTATTTGTATTGCATTCGGAGCCGTCACATTAAATTCCGTTTAAAATTATATTAAAGTTTTTTATTTATAAAAATATATCGTTGTTTCTGCCGAATGGATACTATAATTTAAAGACGGAGTTTTAAGTAAGTTTTATATTAATACATCTCTTAATTATAACATGCGATAATTGATCAATATTTTAATTTACACTGACACGGCCCCTGGTACATAATTTCAATCTATGCATAGAGAGGGGAGTGCTACTAGGTGCCTGTAAAGGGGCTTTCTGGGGAGATATTTTAACGCTTCACTGGCGCAAAATCTGTCAAAATTCAAAATATTGCCTGACAACCAATGTGGCTTTCGTAGTGGTATTTCTACGGAGGATGCCTTTCAAACTTTGTCGGTACGGTTGTCTCAAAAATAGTGAAAAAGCTTAAACGTTACGGTGTCTTCCTGGATTTCTCCAAGCCCTTTGATACCTTTGCTGTGCCTATTCTTTTGACTAAGCTTGAAAAGATACGGGGCCTTACGTTAGATATGTTCACAAGCTATCTCCCAGACAGAACACAAAATGTAAAGATAGGATGTTTATTTAGTGATGAAAAATTTATATGCTATGGCGTTCCCCACGGTAGCATACTGAGTCCCACTCCCTTTTTAATATGTATTGACCAGCTACTTCGCATGTCTTTTGAGAATTGCGACGTTTTTACGTATGCCGATGATATTGGACTATTAGTCTATGGTGATAGTTGGATCCCCGCAAAGGCAAAAGTAGAGAGTGCACTTATTTTTGACATTCGTTTTGACATCTCCATAAAGCACTTTAAAAACCTACTTAATGGTAACATTCAAATACATCACTGTCATGACAAAGATCCGTGTCTATGTAGTAGTAAACCTTTAAAAATAATGGGTATGTTCCGATATACACTGCGACCACTGAACAGTATGACGTCAATTTAGTATACTGGAAGCCCGTTCCTTTATAGCTAGTTATACTGGTGACTTTTTAAAACGGAACGCAGTCCAGTATACTGTTAATCCTATTTTTTGGCGCCATTTTCAAATTTGTTAATGCAAGGTGAATATAAATATAAAGATTCCCTCTTTTCAAAAGAAAATATTATAAAATTGGAAAATTGTATAAAAAAATTATTTATCCATCTTATAATAAACGTAAGTATTTTTTTTTGTTTATTTAGAAACTTATCATTTTCTGATTCTGTTTCGACTGATCACGTGATCAAAAGCACTGCGAGCACCTTACCTCGAAATCTCCAGTGCTCACAGTACAAATATGGCGGCAATTTATGACGTCATAAATTTCCCTAGGGTACTGTAGCAGTGTACTGGCAGTCCATAACGGAACGGATTTTTCAGCAGTAAGACCACTGCGCAGTGCTCGCAGTGTATATCGGAACATACCCAATGAATAGTGTCAAATATTTAGGAGCACACGTTGATGACAAACTTTACTGACATGTCTAAATTCATATCCTCACAGCAAAGGTTCGTAGGTTGAATTTGGTCTTCAGGAGGTTGTGCGGTTCTGTTGATCAAAATACTCTGTTTTGATCTATAAGCGTCTATGTAAGTCAGTAATAGCATATTGCATTTTTGTGATTGGAACGAAATCAGCATGCTGTATTTAAGGTCTTATTGCGTAAGCCAAGAATATGCTCTACGGAAAAAATATTACATTACTGTAAAGTGCTTACGGTTAGGCAGCTGTCAATACTTCGTATTCTTTTACGTAAACATTCATCAATACCTTTTGATCATAAAATAACAATGAGGAGGTTGGGAGCTCCTGTTTGTCATCAAATTATATGTCGGACTTCGTGAGCGAAACAGCAACACAACGCGCTAAGTTAAAAACTGTATAGTAGAGTTAATATAATTGAACCAATATATTCACATACTAAGCACACTTTGAAAACCTGAAAACTAGTGAAAACTATTATTGAGAGTTTGTAATAATCATTTAACTATCACGACACAGAGGACAGGTTAAAGTAGGCAAACCAAATAGAATATATACCCACAAACGCGACATACACAGACACTCACACTCACTCATACTCACCCGCACACACGCACGTACACACAAAAGTTCTACCAATATATAAAACGATAGTTGCAAAATATTCCTTTAGACAAGAGGAATTACTGACACCCAAAAAACAGATTTAATTCTAGTTTGGAGATCAGGAGCTCACAATAATTTTAAGTGCTAATTTGTAACCGAAAATACCAGTTTATTAATTTATGTATAAAAACATGTTCTGTTTTGGTTTGAATAAAGATTATTATTGTTATACTAATAAATTACGATTTCTTGTAAAACCACACCGCCCTGTCACGGAAACAATCGCAACCGAAAGAGAGCGAGTCTAGTGGTGCCAATAATCAATTCAGGTCTCACAAATACATATGTTTCAAAAATGCCTACAATAAACTTTATTAGTTAATTACTTAATGCGAAGAGAAGATGGGTTTAATTATTTATGTACTATAACCACGCACCTCTTACCAGGTGGTTGGCCAAAAGCTCAACTTTATACAATTCTAATACCTTTCTTCTCTCTCTCTCGTTCCTTACACACGCACCCACTTCTCTGCGTATCTTCTTTCTACCGTGTATTTAAGGATTTAATTTTTATGTCAAATGAAGATCTGACGGATTAATCGGGGCTTCTGTTACACGGTAGATCCGCTTACAGTCTCTGGCTTTGCTTTCACGCGCACGATTCGATCACAATATATTCATCTATAGGTCTTATTATATAAATAGCACTAAAGTTTAAGCTTTTGTCGACCATAAGCAAATTGACAATGACAGAAGAAAATACGTAAAATTAGGACGTGTTGATTTATTTTGGTCGGATACTGGTTAAAACCTGATACTTAAGTTAGTCTGCGTTGTATAATAAGACAGTTTAGGTATTATCCTCCCAGTATTCCGTTTCTTGTCACACAATAATTCATTATATAGTTCATGATGTAACTATAAAATAATAACGTTCACAGAGCGAGGGGAATGCCACCCAACGAGGACAGACGATGCTTTTCTCCTAAGATATCTGCGAGCCTCCAAATTTATTGTGCCTAAAGCACATAGACTGGTGAGTATTGAGTAAAAAACAAAGTCGCTTTCTCTGTCCCTATATCCTATGTATGCTTAAATCTTTAAACTATGCAATGGATTTTGATGCTTTTTTTTCATAGATTGGGTGATTTAAAAGGAAGGTTTTTATATATGATTTAAGACCACGTGGGCGAAGCCGCTGGCGGAAAGCTAGTACAATATAAATAACATTTTAATTTATACTATAATTCTTAATTTAGATCAATAACTTTTCGTGTTCTTTAATACGCATATTTTAAAAAGACAAAAACGTCAGACAACTGTATTCTCACCAGCACATCAGTTAAGACATTAAGATTTTAATGTGTAAAAAAATACAGTTTTGTATAATTTGACGTGTTGTCGACTCTAATGGATATAACATATAAGTATATATACGAGTAAATAGCTGACAAAATAAAAACCATCAACATGAATCTTAGGGTCTATATGGTATTTGTTAAATAGATCCACTAAATACATTATGATGCTTGCATGCTTTGAATTCCAAGATAATCGCACCATAATGAGAAACAAAATCTTAGTGTGGTATACATAATAGCAGACAATATTACAAACAATAGTATCTAAGTCAGGGATGGTGAACCTTTACGTATCAACGTGCTATTTTTCCAAAGAAAGGTTTAAAGGTCAACGAAATCTCGTGACGTCAAACAATTTTAACTTTCTGATTAATTTAGTAAATAATTACTACTTCATACTTTTTTTCTTTATGCATAATGAATTTTGAGTTCAGTGACGCGTGCCATTGTTTGGCTATCCCTGACCTAGGTGCAAAAGCACCTAATAAAAATTAGGCATGATAAAATTAAATTAATCATAAGAATGATTTATAAAATCATTCTTATTTAGGCCGTCATATATAAGTATATCGGCAATCTATGCCATTTTGTCACACAACAGCACTAAGCCAGTATTCATAAAATTTGTTTAAAAGTAGCTGTTTTCCCGCAGCTTCTGCTTGAACTGTAGTGTACGAAACGTATGTGAAAGATATTTGATAAATCAATCCAATAGTTTCGGAGTTTAAAATTTATTAATGCAAATAAACAATCAAATCTTTCGTTGTTATTTATAATCAAATCCGTTTTATTTTTTTGAACAATGTTATTTATTTGTTAATATTTGTTTCTGGAAGACATTTGTATTTGGCCATTATTATTTAGCTTTAAGTTGTGTACCAATGTTAATTAATTCTATATTTTATACTACACTTGAAGATGATGCGGAGAAAAAAATAAAATAAATGTCCTATGTTATCCGCAGCTAGTTCGTTACTGCACATTCAGGGAGCAGTATCCTTACCTGTACAAGGACGTTGACATGTGGAGTCTCACGAAGGTCGGGAACTCCTACGAGGGCACCATGTTCGACCGCCCCGATGTCGGCAGACTCTCCATCTTCAGATTTGGTAATAAATACACTTTATTTATATCATTTTGTTATGTATTAGGTCCTTACATATGAAATTGGCGTTTTGCCGTACCGGCCACTTTAATCATGAATTTCTCCTCCTTGGTTGGGAATTCCAAATTCAAATTTATACAGTCATTTACATATTTATTTGTGTTTCGTTAAGCGGCATTCATTTGTTTTTTTTTCTTCTGTATGTCTTATTTACGTCACCCAGTATAAAAAATGGAAAACTTGAAATATCGTGTTATTTACGAGTACGAGTTCCACTGTGGTACCAGTGCTGCGGAAACGGCTCAAAGTGTTAATGATGTGTATGGCGGTAATGTCGCAAAAGAAAACACAGTGCGTTTTTGTTCCAACGTTTTCGTTCTGGAAATGTCGACCTGCAGAACAAGCCCCATGGACGGCCGGATAATTTGCATAACTTATTGCAAATGAAAAAATAGAAACCGATGAGGCAGGACAAATCGCCTTCAAAGATTTTATTGATTCCGTCCGACAGGTTTTTTTAGTAAGGGGATCAATGAACGACCTATGAGATGACAAAAGTGCATAGATAACGATGGTTTATACTTTGATTAAATAAATATATTTTATATTAAACAATATTCGACTTTTTGTTCCTCCCATACCAAACACCAATTTCATATGTAAGGACCTAATATTTACAATGCTGATTACCACGATTTTTATCAAACTTCAAAAAAGAGTAATTTAGTTGGAATGGTACAATATTCATATATTGTCTTATGGGATTTAAAAAAAAAATTGCTTAATTGGGAAATATAATTATGTATATTTGTCTATGCAAATTTTGCAGCTTAGACATCGGTTTGATAATCACTGATTATTATTTTATTGCTTTGCTTCTAACTTAAAGATAACAACAATTTTCATTAAAATCGATTCAGTTGTTTTTATGATCTGTTAAAATTAAACCGTCCTTAGAAAGTAATAAATTAAAACATCAAAAAGACTTCATAAAAATTAAGAACAATTCACGAAATTCTATTGAAGTCGGACGAAGGTTTGATGTAGGTTGGTTATTAATGTTAAATTAAGAAAAAAAATATAATTTTCCGTCCGTTGATCCAAAATTGATATCCCCTTTGGGAATTGCAACACAAGAGAAATAACAAATTCACAAACGTAACTGGTGCTTTTTATTTATTCGATATCCGATCCATTAAGATACTTGGTTTTTATAATGCATAATATTTACCTATAAATAATAAGAGAACAACGCCGTCGTTTTTGCAGCAGCTACTTTATTAATAAATAATTTGTCTCTTTTCAAACATTACCAACTTTCAATCGAATTAAAAAAAAATACTATTTTTGTTTCCCTCGAATACAAACAATAAACAAACAATAAACGCGAGTGATAGAATAGATATTAACAGCAAAACCTTAACTTGTCTAAATATAGTATGGCATAACATATTATTTAACACATACCTACCAAAGAGACTTACACCAGTTTTTACTGACCTAGAAAAAAGACATAGCTTAACTAGGAAACGCCTAATCTTACGAATTACCTAAGCAGAATAGTTAAATTACAATTATAATTTTTTTCTTTCATCCATTAACAAATGCCCTAGCACAAGGCGCCGCATAACGCATGTCATAACTTTTGACTTTTTTTAATGTGATTAGGCGGTTCCTAGTTATTGGTAATATGCATTTTCAACTTTTACTCTTTTCCTATACTATAATATCATAAAGGGGAAAGATCTAAGTGTTTTGAACAGTAGCTATGTAACTTTTGGAATGATTTCAAAATGCTTTCAGCTACTTATATTATATGTGGGTGACATTTACGAGGGCGAAGTCACGGTCAAAATAGCAAAAACGTACTTTTTTCATTTAGTTTTCATCGCCATACAATCAATTATTAAATTGGAGCACGAATGATGACAATCTGCATTTTATATTTTAGGGTTTTATATTGCTATGCGTATCTGGACAAAAGTTTTGTAGATGTAATAATAGCTTTTTTTTCTATTTATGAACTCGTATCATAAACGAGTTTATCTCGTTAACAATTAGTTTTAGTTATAGTTCCAACGTCATTAGCTACAAGTGATAATCACATTATTCTTAGACTTACCCAATTACGTTGTTGTTATTTAGTAACTACCTAGTATAACCTCCTTATTTGAAGAAATAGAAACAATGTTAATCTGTACCATATTATATACTAATCTGTACTCGATTGAATATGAGTCAAACAACAACGTGTAGATAACATTGTTATCACAATTAAAACATTTAATAATGAGTTCGTGAATGAGAATGACTTTAATAGTTCTTTTCACAAATAACGTCGTTTTATATTATGAAAAATGAAAATATTATACAAGAAACCAATAGGATGGCTTGGTACCATTCGATTTCCGGCTACTAAATTACGCATGACTAGCCATTGGATGGGTGACCAAAAATTTATTATCTCAAAGACGGCACGTCAAGCCCGCTTGCATTTGCAATCGTTAACTTAAAATATCTTTAAAGTAACGATTGCAAATGCAATACAATTAAATTTAAAATATCATTACAACTAAATAAGAAAGTTGTTATTGAGCTAAAGTATACTTTGCTATTTAAATTATATGATTGTATATTTTAAGATATCAAAGTAAATTTTAATCTTAACATTAATTATTATAAAATGAATAATTTATATTTTGATTATTTTATTATTACACATTTATAATTAACACTTTTTTTATTTATTTGAAGGAGTATGGGACCCAAGTGAGTTCCCTGTGGAAGATCTAGTACGCGCTGGAATGCTAATGACAGAGATCGGACTAAGGCAACCGAAACTGCAGGTATTGGGCGGGACGGTGTTGGTAGATCTGGAAGGGCTGACGTTACGTCACGTGGCGACACTGACACCTACCGTGGCGTACCAGATCGTGAATTTAATGGGGGTCAGTTGAAATATTTAAATACACTTAAAATATTCCAGATACAGCTAAGGATTTTATTCAAGATATTGTACTTACTAGAAGTATTTCATTCGAGCGGAGATTATTAAAAAAGAAATTCTACGTGTTTGCAAGGCTGCCACTGTTTAACCCACCCATAGACCCCTCAAGTATTTTACAAATTATCGCTTAAATTAGTCATGATTATTTTTATTTGGCGAATAGGCCTAAGGGACAGTAGTCTACTCCAGAATTTTTGCTCACTAAAATTTTTTGTTAAATAATACCTTGCAAACTTTCACTTAATTTAGGTTTAAAAATAATCTGATTCTTGATTGTTTATCACAGCCCCAACTCAACAGATCGTTATTGTTCATACTAATATAGTGTTGCGTTACACGGTAAATTAATTCATAATATATAAAGATTTTAGCTAACTCAAATCGATTGGATGAGCATCATATTTATCATTGACTTATTTTTGTGGTCATTATTCCTTAATACTGCTACTCTATTAGATTTTGAGATAAACTCTTGACTCATCAGAAGTCCCTATTTTACACCAGTCCGTAATTAAATAAGAACAAATTGCCAAGTCACGTAGTTTTAGAGATAAATGGGAGTATTTATGCCAACAGCTACTGATACTAAATTTAAAACCTTCGAGATCGCTTTTTTATTTTGTCATAGCGCACCAGTGATAAATGACTGAATTCAATCTTTTTATAATTAACGATGTGATTATAAGACACCTTCTGAGTTAGTATGATATGATTCATTAAAACAACAGCAAAGGCAAGTGAAAAAGCACTTAGTTACTTAACACAACTTAGGTAAATTGAACAGTACGTTTATCGACCTGACAAGTTGGGCATGCAAATATTGTTGAAATTGTGAAAGGAGACCAACGACAAGTTTGTCACCCGTTTGAATCTCAAGTTTGTTATATACTAATATGCCGTACGTATTACTATTACAGGTATCATTACCGGCTCGTCTCAGGTCGTGCCACATCATCAACTACTCGTGGATCCTCAATACGTTCTTCTACATCTTCAAGAGGTTCATACCGCGGAACGCATGGAATAAAATCTTCTTTCACGGATACGACTTGAAATCTTTACAGAAACACATAGACTTAGAATGTCTTCCAGAACGATACGGTGGTACTTGTAGATACTTTGCAAATTACGAAACTTGGTTGAGTAAAATTAAAAAATACCGTAACGAAAACTTTGATAAGGATATGAAGAGATTAGGTTATCTCGTGAAAGAATAAGCTCCTGTGTATACTTTATCTTTTGGAAGAACATATTAAAGATTTTTATTAATTCTGAAGATTAAATAACTTGAGAAATAAACTCTAGGAAAATTTTGTTAAGTATGAAAACTGTATCAATAAGCTTTTTTAGATGTAATACTGTAGATATATAACTGTAAAATCCCGTATATCGGTAAATCTTAGGGGGTGGTAAATGTGGAAATTTTTACAATCATTCTTCTGAACGATAAGTAGCGAATAAATGTCATCACCGAGTCGTTCTTTGATCTTGTCTAACAAAATTTACCATGTCCTTTTGGTAAAAAAAGATTAAAGAAGTTCGTAAAAGTTCTGAATTACCTAACCACGATCACAAAATAATCCTAACCTTTATGGTTCAAATTAAATCTTTTGTCTAGAAGACTAAATAGTCGTTTATTTCGAACTCTTACAGTAACAGATATACTAGAAAACAAATTATCTCCTCTCCTCACTATACTCTCTCCTCACTATATATAACAACCAGAGAATAGTCGGAGGAAATAACTTGATTTTATCTTCATCAAGGTATTAGTACTTGGTATGGAACTGTATAACTTTTTGATAAATATAGCGAATTTACTTTGAAGGGATCAAAGTGAAAGAACCGAAGTACCCTAATATAACCTCGCTAATGATAATTATCAAATCTATTGAGCCTAGTTCTAAAGTAGGTACAAATAAGTCCGTATTTATATTGATCTCTACAGAAGGTAAATAATAATGCTAAATAACATTATTTTAAGATAATTATATTCTTTATTTCTACTAGATTGTAAAATATCGCCGTAATATTATATAACGGTAATAATGTTATTAAAGAAACTACAATATGTGTAGTGTCCCACAGAAAATTTGTTGTTGGTACCTACTACTTTATTATTATACGTATAGTATGTATAGCTTAATCAATTAATCAAATTCAATTGAAAGGGTTATGTAGATCAAAAATCACTAATTACAAATTAAATAGTGTTTCCTTTTTAGGTAATAATAAAAACCAACTAAATTGTGTCTCAATGACATTCCTATCACAGTAGACAACTGCTGTGGTCCTATGTTTCTACTGAGGGCTCAGTGTAAGTTTTTTTTTTGTGACGTTTACGTTCATCTTCGTTCGTGAGAGTTAAGGCTCTTTACTCAATCATAACTCGATGCGATGCAATTCGATACTTCACTGTTTTTGAACATTCAATTCGACAATCGTCTTAGAAAATGTACTGACATTTTCTAAGACGTAAAGTTTTATTTGAATGTTCGTACTTTCGAAGTAACGACTCTGTATATTTAAACATCCTTAGCCGTATTTATAGAAAAGACCAAAGCTAAGTGGAATGAATTGCCTCATAATTTTGATGATAGCTTAGTAATTATTCTTAAACAAAATTTACTAATTTGTAACGACAAAATGAAAGAATTCTGTGATGATGTAATAAAGTCTATTTTGATAAACATTTATATCAATATAGTATTAAGAAATAATGTGATAATAAACATAAGTTTATTTAAAATAAATTGAACTATGGATCTCTAACCATATCAACAATGTGAATTTACTACGCTGTGAGTATAATTTAAATATGTATAATAAAATTAACGTCAGGTAAGAAAAAATAACTGTGTTCTAACATATTGCGGTTACCTGAAGTGAAGTGCGGTACTGTATGTAATTGTACTTAGTATAAATATTATATTGTATCAACATAAAGATTACCACAGATAACGCAGATATTGTACTTTTTGAACAAATAAATACTTTTTATTTTTTTATTTTCATGTTTTATTCAATACTCGATAACTTTATTGTAAAATATGACATAATTATAATAATTTTTCTTTTATATAGAACCGAATTAAAACTTTAAAAAAGTAATAAATAATACTTATCTCAACTTCGACTTATTCAAGAAATGCTATTGAAGTCGGACGGAGGTCTTCTGTAGGTTTTTAATTATATAATAGGCACCTGATGAATTGCATACACTTGATAACTGACGAGATATCTAAGGGCTAGCTACATAAACTTACTTTAACAATAATAAACTTGTAAAAGTACCAGTTAACCAATTTGATTTGGCAATAGTACAACTCATTTGTTGCAGTCTACCAAGTAAAACGTCGGTGCAATTATGTTATAATCAATGTGACAGGTATTATCAAATTTGATTAAACCTTTGTTTTTATAAACATATATTGTGTAGTTGTACAGTCTTATTGTTTGATAAATATGGGAATAATCGAGGCCTATATGCTATACTATTAGAATAATCCAGATGGCTAACACGTAATTTTATTATTCTCCTTTCGCCTATTCCTATCTAACTCATTGGATCAGCCAACAGTCTTATGTTTATGCTTAGCCTTAAAATACCTAAGTGTTTATTTAAAACTAAAACTTAATTGGCATGTCGTGCATAAAATACGAGAATGGAAAGTCTTAATAAATATTAAAAGGCTTATTTCTTATTTTTGTTTAACTTGTTCATCTTGAAACGTCCTTCGATCAAATGTTGTCAATCTTATTAATATTAATAGAAGCCTGGCAGTAGCAAAAGGACTTATTCGGTAGAAATAAGGTATATTATGCTAAACCTTCGAGTTTCAAATATAAGTTCCACGGAAGACAGTGAATGAATAACGTGTATTAGCAAAATTAGTATGAATTAAAAGAGCACGGGGACAAAAAAAGCAGTACTAAATAAATAAACTTTGAAACTGTTGTTTATAGTTTATCTGTGGTGACCATTTGGCTACGGACTACAAAAGATTGCAGTTATTAAAAACCAACATGAACGGAAGAGCTTCAATATCCACCATATTTCAATTGTCTTGTGTATAAATAATATCATGTTAAATTCGTAAACTCACGTACAAGTACCACCCCAAACAACCATCTAAAATTAAAAGGATTTACGGTAATTTAACTAAAGTGTGGACTTTCCTTTGTTATTACGTAAGGGGTAAGGGAGGTCTTTCAAGTGGTAAAAAAAATATGCAAACTGAGCATGCCGAAAAGGATTGGGACCATTTCACATTTTAGAAATACTTACATTATAAAAATAGTGAGAAGACGTCGTGAGCCTTTAAGCCGTTAAAGAACACCTTACATTACATCTTGTGTGCAAGCAATGTGCTTTCACAGAAGATCAATAAAACATATTGAATTGTTATAGATATTAAAATTTTGAATTTCATTTAAAATTTTGTAATAAACTTTAACCGGTATTTACTATTTAAGATAAGTCGATTGACATTCTATTCTAAATTGTAATTTCACGACCACTTTCACGGTTCAAATAGGGCTCCAGGAAGGCAGTCAACAGAGATCTGTCAAAATAATACTGAATGATCGGTTATACTGACAGATCATCACAGATCTTCAGAACGCAGGTAACTCCCGTTTAGAATTTAAGTAACATTTCTCGTTGAAAAAATTCAAATCTTTCAATGTTGTTTTCCACCGAGAAGTTTATTATTAAAATTTCTTGCGTTCCACATTACTTCTCTATCATTCTTTTATTATTTACTGGTGATGTTTAAGCGCGTACAAAGTAACCCTTTTTGTATTGAGACGAACACACATGAATGAAAAATGAAATCGACTCGCTTCTCGCCAGTTTTTTAAACCTTTATTTAACTTGCTGTAATCAAAGTCCGCAACATTAGGGGGGTCATTTAAATTAATTACAATACCCGAAAAGCTCAATGAATGCAGACTCCGATGACCAGAGACTAGAAGACAGTGCTCAATATCAACACACATCCAAAAGGAAAAGGCAGACTTGCTATATCATAGTCAAATGTTGGGTGGGGTCTTAAAGAGCAGAACCTTTCACCTGTCACCATTCCAAAGCAATATTGCATTTTCATTTGGTTATTGTGCAAATAAATCGGTACAATCGAAAAGTGGGATGTGGGTCAAATTTTACTTGCTAGATAAATCTTCTTCGCGTCTGCGAAGAAGATTTATTAAAGCTATATATATCTGTGCCTGTGTCTACAGGCTCAGATATGTGTATCTGTGCCTGAGACAGTCTGGGATAAAATTGCCTGGCGCCGACTAAAGGCTGGGGGAAGAAGAAGAAAAAGAAGATTTAATTTGGTGTAATAGTTAGTGTGGGTCAAAGCTTGCAAGTAAATTTTTAACCAATTCTTATTTTTCAATTGAGCTGAATTTTTTTAAGCGCTCATGAAGATGCAATTGTGATTTGGAATGAAGCTGATTTGATGGGGCCTAAAGATAGATAGTCTGTAAACATAAACGAAGTAAGGGCATCGAATATAGCTTGTTTGGTTTATCATGACAAGGATTTTAGTCCGAAATATGAGTCCGCGAATGAGTCCGAAATAATATCCAGAGTCTGATAATGGAATTAGAAAATGTTAAAAGAACAAAAGAACTGTGTAATTAAGTAACACAACCCTGTCAAGGCTCGTTAATAATAATAATAATAATAATAATAATAATAATAATTTAATAATAATAATGCGAAAAGTGTCGGAGCGCATCGATGACCTGAAACAGAAAATTGCGGCTTGGGGAAGTCGGATACGGCGGTACTCCGAGAGAGCGGCAAGGTTTCGCCAGAATCGTCTCTTTGGGAGTGACCAAAAGAAGTTTTATCGTACATGGGAGACACGAGCTGGCCCCTCCACTGTCCAAGGACCGAATGTCACAGATGTCATTGCCTTTTGGCGGAACATCTGGTCCCGGCCTGTGGAGCACATAGAGGGCGAATGGATGGCGCCTATAGAGGAAGCGTGTGCATCGATAGATGCGATGAACCCCATCACCATAGAGTCGGATGACGTGTTGGCTGCGGTCCGTAAAGCTCCGAACTGGAAAACTCCAGGGATTGACGGACTGCACCACTACTGGTTGAAGAGTTTCCGCTCGTGCCACGCATTCCTGGCCCGCCAATTCCAAGACGCCCTAGAACAGCGATGTCTCCCAAACTTCTTAACAACTGGGGTCACTCACCTAGCTCCAAAGTCCACCAATACCGCGGATCCGTCACAATACCGCCCCATAACGTGCTTGTGTACCACCTACAAAGCACTGACATTCATTCTGAAGGCTAAAATTGATGCTCACGTTGAGCACAATCATATCATGGTGGACACTCAGAATGGATGCAGGGGCGGGAGCC